TGGAGGACCGTCACTCGTCCAGATGGTTGGGATGAAATTTTAGTTTATACACTCTTTATTGCACTAAAACATACAGAAATTATAACAATTGGTAATAATGAAGCAAAGGTGAACTTACGTCTAAAAAGAGATTTCATTTATCTATAGCAAATTTTTTAGGGGCATCTAGTCATAAATTAAAAACTTATCAAGCTGTACAAAGTACACTTTAAGTACACCAAAGTCGCATCTTTCTTATATTAAGATATAGTATAAAAATTAAACATATTAAATTATAATGTAAATAAATTCATTAATTGATTGATTAAAATAAACACCTATAACCAGCGTGTAATTTGTAATTTTTCCTTCCTTTTCTGTAGGTGTCGTAAGAGGCTACTAAAGGAACTTAAAGCTCGAGGGATGGCAGCAGCATCCCTCTTAAAACATCACCCTAGCCTGCCAAGCATGGCAACTACTGGTAAAGCTCCCCTCATCGGGAAAGCTTGTTCAGCAGTAGGCAATCAACAGGTGATATAATAGTAATAATGAATTTGTAATTACTTGATCTCTTGATGACATCAATTATACTGGGGGATAGGGATTATTGGCAATAGAGTTTGACAGCCCCATTGCTAGCAATAGGACATCTATTTGGACGACCTCCACGTGCTTCCCCCTGGAAACCATCGTGAACAATTCTTGTTGAATTCGTCATGATGGACTAACTGACCTGCTCTATCCTCACCTACCATTCTTCACTGGTGCCCTGCCGGTGTATACCGATAGTGCGGTGGGGTTACCATTTTAAAAAAAAACATCAATTATACTGAACACCTTTATTATTGAATGGCCAGCAATTTAAATTGTGTCGCGTCACAGAGTAATTTATTACTTTATTCACGTTTATAAATTGACATCTCTCTAAATGCTTTAAAATAAACATCGTTTCGCATTCAAGCGGCGAACAGGGCGCGTAGATTTTCAGCCGTCACTCGCTCGCAGCGGTGACAAATTTAGTCGTTACGCGCCATCTCGCGGAATAATAATGATATCTCTTTTTGATTCTAACTTTCGTCAGACATTACTAAAATACAAAATTATGTTTGGTAAAGAGATATTTTATTACTGATAACTGGAGCAATTATCAATAGATCGTCTTAGAATGTCTAACTAATACATTCCATTGTGACATTTTATAATTAAAATTGTGTTCCACAAAAAAAATATTACATGAATTGTTAAAGGATTTTCAATAAGTATACCATATTACGAAAAAGAGTTTTACTGCTAAGCTTTTAAATAATATTTGGGTAGAAAAAATAGTAACAATAAGTATTGTTAATTATTAGAAAATTTTAATAAATAATTTAAACAAAAAGGTCATTATTAGAGTATTCGGACACTTCCCAAAGGTTGACTGGGAGAGAATGCTTTTAGAATTAACCTCGTAAACATACATTTAATAAATAAATAAATAATTCATAATTATCATCGCAATTGGTCTAATTAGTTAAAATTTTATTTTTGGTCATATATTTTTATCTTTTTGGGAACTTTCTAAAATATTACCAGTATTTTTTAATATCTTATGTCAATTCTGGAATTCTTTTTGCAATGACTAAGGTCCCCTTCATGTTGGTCACATATTAGTCACAATTATAATTTAAATAATATCAACTATGACCTAATTTTTAAATATAAAAATAAAAATTGCAACATTATAGATTTCTTTTATTAAATCAAATAAAATAAAGTAATTAATTTGCATATATAAAATATCATAAAGGATTATAATAGTATAGCATTTATTCTGCGAAATCAGCCCGTATACAGGCATGCAAAATACATTTTAATTGACAAATTTAATATAGATATTATTGGAATTAAATAGAAAAAACCCTATTAATATAATAAACCAGCGGGGGGAAAGGGATTGTTAGTAATGGAGACTAAAAATCCCATTGCTAGCAATATACCCAACCAGGTCGACCTCCTCGCGGTTCCCCCGGAAACTATCATGGTTAATTCCTGATGAATTCATCATGATGGGCTAACTGGCCTGTTTTCATTCTCATCTATCACCCTTCACTGGTGCTCCGCCAGCGTATCCCGTTAGCGCAGGCGGGGCTACCATACCATTTTCATCCACCAAAAAAAAAAAAAAAAAATATAATAAACCAGCTGACTCCGCCAATTTCGTATCGCTTTACAGCCGATTCTTAAATTATTTGTTTTTTTTTTTTAGTATTTATTCTGATATTCGTTGTGTGTATTAGTTAAACGAATGTTACTATCATATAAATATTGACAAATATTGACATCAATATTTATACGAAACTAACGTCACTCGATTGTTTTGCCTTCCCGAAACCTCTCTCCTAACACTTGAACTTTATGGGTATGGTATTAAAGTTCAAATTGACTTTTAAGTATTGTTACGAATCGCTTATATAGGAGTAAAGAAAAGTGTTTTTACACTTTTTCTGGAAATTTTTAAATTTTTTTCTCTCTGTAACCCATAACCATCCTCGTACTTCAAGGAATATTTTAAAAAAGAATTAGTGACATCGGTTCAGATGTTTTCGAGATTTGCGCTTAGCAACACATTCAGCGATTCATTTTTATATTATAGACGTAAAAAATTCTAACAAACGGTGGACGGATTTACATATTTTTGTTACTATTTTACGCAAAAACTACAAAACAGATTTGAATGAAATTTGGTACAAGAGTAGGCTATATTTTAACTTAATATATAGAATATTTAATGTAGTGATTTACGTGGAAGTCTAGTCTTAGTCTAGGAATAGGGTACAGAAGAATAACACCTGAGTCCTCAGGAATGGCAACACATAGGAGGTATCATGGGCGAAACAATATACTCTGTTATGTCCATGGTAGTGCTCGTTTGCCATTCTAAGTTGTATTAAAAAAAAAGATCAAAATTTAATTTCACAAGAAATAATTAGAAATATATGGTCAATTCGTCATGGTCGTAGAATACTGACGGATCTTTATATGTAATATTCGTCAGATCCGTCAGTATTCTACGACTAGGACGAATTGACCATTTTAAATTGCATAAAAAAATATAGAATACTGCAATAAAAATATGTGGTTGTTACATCAATTTGTTACATCCAACGTTCATTAAAATGAACATCAAATCCTTTTGTGAGGCAAGATCTCTTACTAATGAAAAAGATTTATCAAAGACATTTCATACAATGGTTTCCTTTTGTCTTTAATTTCTATAAGATGTCGCGTTCTTTAACAATACCATGAAATGATCTATTAAATAATTATAATTGAACACTCTTTATCTTCGAATGTAAAATGTATTCTTATAAAGGATAAACAAAAATATAGCTTACTCGATGGTATATGGTTATTTTTGAATTGTGTTTATGGGAGTTTACTACTACTACTGTTATTCTACACATTCTAAATCTTCGACCAAACAATAAGATGCAGAATTCTTCTACAAGGTAAGATTTTTTTTAAAAAATCTATATATATATATAGTCTATTTATAGAGCTACCAGAGGGAGACTTTGTACAAAAGTCGATTGCTTGGGTACCTCTGTCCCATTTGTGTTTCAACCGTGAAGCAGTTGTGTTTGCATAGCTGTGTTTCGGTTTGAAGGGTGGGATATGGCGTGAATTTACTGGGTACAGAGAAATAACACCTGAGCCCTCAGGAATGGCAACCATGGGGGGTATCATGGACGAAACAATATACTCTGTTATGTCCATGGTACTGCTCGTTTGCCATTCTAAGTTGTATTAAAAAAAAAGAACAAAATTTGTATTTCACAAGAAATAATTAGAAATATATGGTCAATTCGTCATGGTCGTAGAATACTCACGGATCTTTATATGTAATCTTTGTCAGATCCGTCAGTATTCTACGACTATGACGAATTGACTTTTAAAATTTTTAAATACCGAAAAAGCATTAATAAGCAGGAATTCCAAAGTAAATTTTATTATCATAGAATTACATCAGTAATTCGAGTGGTCGAATATAATTTATTTTTATTTTTTAATACATTGTTTTTGTGCTCTTGGAAAATAAGATTTTTTTATTTTATTTTTAAGGGCTTTCACCTTTTTTAGGTACCCCTTTGTATTCTGAACTGATTTCTCAGTAGAGATTTTATCTACTTTGCCTACTCACGAAAAGAGAGGAATTAATAGACATCAATAATATTTCTTAATATTACAGAAACAAATTCCGCCTCTAATGTACGCACACTGCCTGCTGGTAATTAACGCTCTTTCCACTCAAGGTTTGCTGGAAGAGAACTCTTACAGAATTAAGCTCGCCTGTTGTATACCTTTATTTAATATAAATTATATCATTGTAATTTTTTGTGTACAATTAAGTCTAAATAAATAAATAAATAAATAAAAATAATATACAGAAATGTTTAAAAATTTATGATTTAGTTTCAACAAATACAGAGTGAATGACTTCATATATAGTCTATTTAGGTAAAGATAGCGCACGCATACTCCTTTTTCCATCGAGTTAAATTAATAAATTAAGTTAAAATGAATTTAATTCATACATACATACATACATATCTGTCTCGCCTGTCTCCCATTAGGGTAGGCAGAAACAATGGAACGCCAAATGCTTAAATGAATTTAATTCAATATCTAATTATCAAAATTTCCTTTATATAATTACAATATTTTTTATTAACCAATTTATAATATGATATTATATTAGTGTAAGATATTGAAACGAAGGTGCAATCCATATTAACGTTTGCTGAAAAATATCCAAGTTAAGACACGTACGTGAGAACAAACTGTCGTTATCTGACGAGATATAAATGGGGGCAGCGTGCGAGGGACATACTACGACATGACAGACACAAGATGGTGACAATTAGTTTCGAAATGTCAGAGGTGGTATATTTGCTATTAACTCGAATTTATATTTTTCTCGACAGATATGATACTCCTATTTTTAAGCTAATTATATCTAATCATTAAGTATAACTTACCATATCCCATTGCCAGTTTATTTCTGGAAACAACACTATTTTCGTACTTTTTTTTAACTGGAAATCAGTACCTGAAAAAAATAAAACGTCAATCAATAATAGAAATTTAAAAGATTTTTGTGTAAAACTTAAAAGACACATTGAAAGTTTCTGAATGAAAAAACCGGACAGATACCATATCAAAAATTTTAAATTATCGTAAGTAGATAAGTAGTAAATAATATTACTTGGTACACTAACTCAAGCGTGTATGTTCAGTCTTACGTTAAATATTACTAAACAGAAAAAATATTTGTACGCTTTTATATGCCGCATCCATTAACAAGTATGCCTTTAATATACCCAGTGCTATCTCTCAGATGGTCCAGTGTAAATGGACTAAATAATATGAACAAGGTACACACACTTAACACAAATGTTACCTCTAAGTATGTAAGTACATATTTGTCTATTATTTTTTCAATGTATATTTCTTGACGAAACTAAATATTTTCTTTTTATGCGACAGAGGTACCCAAGCAAATGACTTTTTTACAATGTTTCCCTCTGGTATATCTTATTATTTGTTTTATGTGGAACAAATTTTTGAAATAAGGACCCATCAACTCGTTTTTCTTTCATGTATATTCATAGAGTATAAATATGGATAAACAAAACTCTGTATAACATAAAACTCTGCACTCAATTGTTCTTGGTACCATTTGCAATGCTAATAAGCCACAGGGCCGGACTAAACCACTTTGGAGGGCCCTAGACGCTGCTAATTTATGTATACTCTGTTTTCTCTTATTTATCATTCGTTTAATAATAATATAGATATATAAATAGATTTAACACATAATTTTAAACAACTTCCGAAAGGTCCAATCAAATCTAATCATTTATTTGCACTAAATGGTTGCATTTAAATAAAGGCACAGCAATAAAAATAAAAAGATACAACAAAAAGATTTATTAATTCATCATTAATAATATACATTTGAATTTCTTTATTACCTTATAGCGTATAAACGGCTTAACCAATTACTATTTACCAGAGGGAGACTTTGTACAAAAGTCGATTGCTTGGGTACCTCTGTCCCATTCGTTTGCATGGCTGTGTTTCGGTTTGAAGGGTGGGATATGGCGTGAATTTACTGGGTACAGAGGAATAACACCTGAGTCCTCAGGAATGGCAACGCATGGGAGGTATCATGGGCGAAACAGTATACTCTGTTATGTCCATGATACTGCTCATGTCTATAGGCGACAGTTACCACTTTCCACAGGTGGGCCGTCAGCTTGTTTGCCATTCTAAATTGTATAAAAAAAACTATGAAATTTAGTATACGCGTACTATATAGAATGGAAAAGATTATAAGCTGGCTTTTTACTTCAATCAGTCGACATATATAAGTCACGCGATCAAAGTTGTGGATAAAAGCTAGAATAAAAACTTCTTGTGTTGATCTCATATTAATTTAGTAACTATTTATGCTGCCCTTTTTCTTTGCTAAGTAATATTACTTATTCACTTTATGATATTGTTGTCTGGTTTTAGTCAATTTTATCAAAAACCCATCAGATTTTGATCTATCATCACCTTCTGAGTTATTTGCGTCAGTAATTCCTGACATTTTCGTACAGTCCCGGCATAGAATAGACCGCTCTTTCTTTTCCCGCGGGTGTCGTAAAAGACGACTAAGGAAGGGCGAGTGATGGGTAGCGTCTCTCTTAAACCATCTCTAAAGCCTAACTGCAAATAAATTACTTGCCAAGCGCACCGGAAAACCCCGCCAAGGAAGAGGCTTACGTTCAGCAATGAACAGTTAAGGGTTAAAATGATGATATGATGATTTATAGGTACTGTATACTTGCTAAGATATATCTCCGACTCTGTTTCTTCTGCATATCAATGATATGTTACAGATAAGTAATATTCATTGCTATGCAGACGACAGTACAGGAGATACATTATATACCGGTCATGCAAAGATCTCGCGGGCACATACCGATGAGTGCCGGAATAGACTTGTGTCTGAAATCGAAACTTCACTCCATCAAGTTTTGATCTGGGGTGAACAAAATTTTGTCCAATTTAACCCCAAAAAGACACAAGTCTGCGCGTTTACCGCAAAAAAGACGCCGTTTGACGTATCTCCTCACTTTCAGGGCACTTCCCTTGATAAAAAGTCGAGTCTAGGAATTCTGGGCGTTGATATATCTTGCGACGTCCAGTTTTGCGGTCATCTGGAGGAGAAGGCTAAGATAGCTTCCAAAAAGTTAGGAGTGCTCAACAGGGTGAGAATATATTTCATGCCAGAACACCGCCTGAAATTATAAAAAGCCCAAGTCAGGCCGCATATGGAATACTGTTCTCACCTGTGGGCAGGAGCGCCACAGTACCAACTCCTTCCGTTAGACCGCATTCAAAGTCGGGCGGCTCGAATTATCGATAGTCAACGCCTTACTGTCCGACTTGACCCACTGAAACTGCGCAGAGATGTTGCATCTCTGTGCATCTTCTACCGAATTTAGCATGGGGAGTGTTCTGAGGAATTGTTCGGATTGATACCTGCTGCTGATTTTCACCACCGTACAACCCGCCACAAACTAAAGTTTCATCCCAATCATCTGGACGAGTGGCGGTCTTCCACCGTGCGTTTTTCAAGGCACTTTCTTCCACGCACAACCATTCTTTGGAATCAGCTTCCAGCAGCAGTATTTCCGAACCGATACGACAACATAACCTTCAAGAAAAGAGTATATTGCTTTTTAAAAGGCCGGCAGCACACCTGCAATGCCGTTGGTGTTGTGGGTGATCATGGGCGGCGGTAGTCACTTACCATCAGGTAAGCCGCGTGCTCGTTTGCCCCCCGTGTTGTAAAAAAAAAAAACTGTGATCTTTTTTTTATATAAAACCAGCTATACTCCGCGAAATTATTCACGTGAATCAGTACATCTTATGTGCTGAGTTAAAATATAACCTACTCGTATACTAAATTTCATTCAAAGCCATTTAGTAGTTTTTACATGAAAGAGTAACAAACGTCCACCCATAGTTACAAACCTTTGCAATTATAACATTATTGGGATAGAATTATAACACTTTTTCTTTTAACATTAGTTTTAAATATCGAACGAAACAAATTCATTACATAAATCATTTAACATTTAAATGTGATTCAAAATTAAAAGGAATTAATTAAGGAGATTATAAATTCAAATGAGTTTGGAACACAAAACTTGATGGCAAAGAACATTTGTGATTAACACAAGATGACCCTTCTCAAAATCTGGATAAACTCAATGCGTGGCTGGAATAATAAACTGAATTTGGCAGAGCGTAGCAGCGAGCAGTGCCAAATGGTACGACAATAACACTATTCTCCTAGATGGAAGTCATATCCTATGGAATGAATTTTTTAAGTTACTTTCCACTGTTTTTGGGTGTATACTTCTATTGTTTTTCTTTAGTTTCAAATTGTTTTTATGTATTTACAAATAAGCTGACAGTCATCAATCTCTGTTCTAACGAAAGAAAGACTCGTGTTTCACCTCGAAACGAGGCATCTTCAGGCAAATTAATAATAATTTATTAATTTAATTTAGAGGTAAAATACATGTCGCAACATGTGCGTATACTGAATAACGGTCAGAGATTGATGATGACAAAAGTGTTACGGGCTGATATCTTCAACAGATAAAGTACAGAACAGACAGAAAAGTAGCTCAATTGCCTGGCTTTATCTGGCAAATAAATTAAAATTTTAGATAAAAAAAAAAGCCGTTGACAGATTCGATGCAATTTAAAAGGTTGTCCGTTAACACATAAAAAAGGAAACTTACGTTTCTTAAAGTAAGCGAATTGACAAATCCTGGGGCACCTCCAGTATTGCCATCTATCGCTTCACTAATTATTTCTCAAATGTTGGTAACACGCATACTAATGGTAAAAGAATTAAACAAAACTACTCTAATCAATCAACCAAAGGAGACTTTGTACAAAAGTCGTTTGCTTGGGCACCTCTGTCCCATTTGTGTTTATACCGTGAAGCAGTTGTTTGCATCGCAGTATTTAGATTTGAAGGGTAAGATATGGCAGTGAATTTACAGTGTACAGAGGAATAACACCTGAGTCCTCAGGAATGTCAATCATGAGCGAAACAGTACATTCTGTTATGTCCATGATACTGCTCATGTTTATAGGCGACGGTTACCACTTTCCATCAGGTGGGTCGTTAGCTTGATTGCCATACTAAATTGCATAAAAAAAAAACAATGGTATGTACATTCACAAAATAAAACTTAGTTCAGTCAAATATTTAGTAATCTGATGTCATAGTCCCAAAAACTTCAGCGGACCGAGAATCTCTTTCCTTTATAAGTAGCTTAAAAATCAGGCACAGGTCTCGAATCACACGTAGTCTCAAACAACGTGTTTGTACTAAGGTTATATATGCTTCCAACTACTAAAAAGCCATTGGGAGCCCTTTAAGGGAAGTAAAACTAGCAAGATAGTAGATAACACACGGATTTTACGGTTCACAGCACTGTGCCCTCAAGTGACGAAGTGACTACGTGCTCAAATATTTGAAAATACAGAGTTACGTATTTTCTGCCCATCCTATTCAGAGACAGGAATGATACAGATTGTGCATTACAGGTTTTTGTATTTTGTGCACGAAAAATTATTAATTCACTTTTGTGCCACCTGCCCATTTCTATCTGTTATCCTTTAACCAAAGGTTGTCTGTAAGAGATCGCCCTAGCGATAAGACCGCCTTTTGTACCTTTATGTGTATATTTCAATCTGTACTTACGCTACTGGGTTTCACTTGAATACTTCATTATTATTGTGTATTTTTTTATGGTGCAATAAAGAGTTAAATAAATAAATAAGTGCTTTTAAACAAGGAGGAAACAAATATAAAATCAAACATAACCGGTACACAATACCTTTTTCTCACTTGAATAAAAAAGAATGAATGTAAGCAAGACAAATTTCAAATATAAATCATGTTAACCACGTAACTGTCTTGAACAAAAGACGAAGGAAACATACGTAAAACATAAGAAAACGATTTGGAAA